CACCATGCTCTACACTAAGACAAATAAAATCTGGCTGAGGAAATGTTGAGGTTTGGGTTTTTTCTCTTTTCTTTTATGGTAGTTCCTGTAATTTTAATGCCTCAGAGAATCTCCTTGCAATAGTCTGATGTGTATGAATTAGTTCCAGTTTTGGGGAAAATTAACTAAGATTCAACAAGGTTAGAGTAAAAATTTTCAGAAGCCTTTGCAGACTTGACACTTACTGACTGTGCTCCTACTTGAGATCCAGGGCATGACTTTGTCATACTATTAAACTTTTTTATAGCACATCATGTACTGACAACACCAGACAGACACTATCTAATTAAAACTCATAATGCTCTCAAGAAAAGATATGTCAGAGTTTTATAGGTGGGAGATTTCAGAAGAAAATCTGAGAGATGTGCTCCAGCCAAACATTGGATCGGTGACAGAGCCAGTGTTGCTCTGTCTCTCGAGTCTGATCAGCTCTCCAGCCTGGAGCCTACTGAAAATCTGTTGAGAAGCAAATTTGGTTTGATACCAACATGAAAGACAAAATGGTTTGACTCTCAAAGTTTAGAAGGAGGAAAAAATAATTTCCTGCTTAGTGTTGCTGCAGACCTTACTGCCAAAATGGCAAAGCGTCCCAGCGACATGGGTTTGAGTGGTGACTACTCTGAAGGGTGGTGAGAAGTGTCATAGAGAGGAAGAGCACACAGTTCTGTCTCCTAAAGGTCCGCATCAAGAGTTTTCCCCAGTGTCATATACCAGCTCTGCGGCAGAAACAGACATACATGCTCCTGAGTAGCAGGAAACAGCTTTAGCCAAATTTTTCTCCTCTCTTTCTGTGGTTCAACTTCTGTAGGGAACCTTTAGTAACTAATTCAATGCAGGAAACAACCAACAAGCATAAGCTTTATTGTTGCTTTTACTAAACTTAGTGTTTCTATCATGGCACCTAACATTGAGTGAGTAATGGCTAGTATTGAAACACTTTCTTCTCATGTCTCTCTTCAAGAGTCCTGCATTTCCTTGCTTTTCCATATCTCTGGCTGTTTGAGTTTAAATCCCTCTGAAGATATTAAAAAACCATCTAGACATGGTCATGGGCAACCAGCTGTAGGTGGTCCTGCTTGAGCAGGGAGATTGGACCAAATGACCTCCAGGGGTCTCTTCCAACCTCAACTATTCTGTGACTGCGTGACTTCTTGTTATTGTCCTCTACATCTAAGGCAGTTTTCTGCAAGGAATTGATTTCTTAGGGCCAGGAGAAGGTGAAGCTCTGAGAGCTGTGTCCTTCCACCAGCACAAGGGCTGTGGTCCTTCCCAGAGACATGCAGTAGTGCTCCTCATCTCCGTCTCCCACCTTCACACTGGTACCATATCTTCCTCTGCCCTGATACCTTCATAGAAATGGACTTTCTTGAAACCAGGGAATTTCACCTTTCAGAGCCTTGAGAGATTGGGGCGATGTTGCTAGAAAAAAGCTGTGCTTTTCAAACCCATTTGGAAAATGATGATTTTCAACAGTCTATATTATAACTGCACTTATATGGATTTCCATTTCCCTGGCTCCACGTAGGGAAACCAGCAATTCCAGCTTACATAGTATCTCTTTCTTACACATTTTCTCATCCGGTTACATAGCAGTATAAATAGCAAGTTTTATTCTGACTTACCATATTACTTCACCCATGATTTACGTATAGTAGTGCCAGGGTGAACTAGTGGGGAGGAAAAGAGAGCAAGTTTTGTACATCACTGTCCCGATGTTTTGTACAGGAAATATAAAGCAACTCTTGCTGATGGAAAATGTTTTGGGAATTTGAATAGCTAGAACAGTTTGTTGAGTTGCACTATTGCTGAGTCAGGAGGTTGAACAGCAACACTGCTAGAGAAGGTGATCTTTCTGTAAAAGTTCCCCTCAGTACCTCCAAGGGCTTGAGAGCTGAAGTGCTCAGCCATTTCTTCATTTCAACATTTTAAAAATTAACAGAGAAACAAAAATCCCAGCTGTGCTGTTGGTAGAATTGTAAAAAATAAGGCAAATTTTATTAGATCTGTGTTTGAATCTAGGACACTAGCAGGGTTGCAGAGTGGTCCTGTAATGCACTTGCAACATGCATGTATCGAACTGTGGAGGTAAGATATGTTAATTGGCTTCACAGCATGTCGTTTTCCTTTGCAAGATTTAAAATGTGTAGTGTGAGCAGGGCCAAAGACAAAGTGTAGTGGCTGCCAGCTGGACGTGACAGAGGCTTGCAGGGAGATTACACCATAGAGGAGAATGGCTTTTGAGATAAGGATAATCTTTTACATAAACTAACTCTTCCAAGGCAGTTTGGATGGGTGAGTGATAAGGGCAATAATAAAACTACAGGCTGACACAGCTGATAGTTATCCTGGTGTTCAAAGATGATCAAGATCTTGCCAGCAAGATAAGTCAGCTTCTTCTCCTGACTACAGTGACATATAACTGACATTGATACATTTTTATATGAAGGGTCCCTAGATTAATGCTGTTATTTTATGTTTTTCAGATCAACCCAGTAACCATGGAAAGGTCTACAACTTCTGATATGGCCTCTGAAAAGCCTAATCCTTCCCACCACAGTACAGGGGCTGTTCAAATGAGGATCAAAAATGCCAACAGTCACCATGATAGACTGAGCCAAAGCAAATCTATGATTCTGTCGGAGAACGTGAAAGTCACTGAGCCTGTATGTAAAATACTACCAATATCTTCTGAGTCTTCCTATTTTTTAAAAACTACAGAATTATCTTAACTGTGGTCAAGATACTGGTTTCATGACCATCCTTTGCAAGGAGGGATTCAATGGCACTAATAGATTTTTAGGAGTATGGCTAGGCATCGGAATAACGATTCTCCTTCGCTGAAACAAAATTTGGCTTTGGTGGCCAGGATCATAGCATCTACTCATCATTTCAACTCTCAAGTGTTGCAGTACTTAAATATGGCTGCTGTAGAGAATAGTACTTACAGTATCAGATATATGCCATGATTTCTCAAAAAGCAAATGCTAAAACCAAAGAAAAGTAAAGAAATGGAAATTACAACTCAGTAAATAAAGGGCAACTTTGTCAGTAAGAAAAATAAGTCTTGCTGTAAGAATGAATGAATTGTAAAAATCAGACACTGAATTTCTCTTATGATTTTAATCATTGACGGAGTTGAAAGAGTTGAGTAATTTTTTATCCATTATCTTTTTTTTTTAAATTAAATAGTTAGTGATGAACTCTGTTGCCAGTTGCGTCCCTGCCCCTGTACTCCTTCTGAGCTACTAAACAAACTGATTGGTATGAGTCTCCCCTGGTTAATTTTCTTCCATAATGGTGGCAACTTGCAGCTGAGGCCATATGATGTTACAAAATTATTTATGCAATGTTAGCCACTTTTTGGACTCCAGATCCATTTTGTTCTCAGAGAATGCAAATGAGGGAGAAAACTCTGCTGGCTGGGGACAGAGTCCCAGGTCTCAGTCACTTCTCACAACCATGCCAGCCATTAATTTTTTGTTTTGTTGATGTAATGGATTCCTATGAAATATTCAGCTTTCTAACAAAGTTATTAAATGGAGGGAGCCCACAATAACGGCTGTATTTTCTTCTCTTTTTACTTCAAGTTCAAACTCAAAATTCAAACTTACTTAGAAATACATTATTGTAAGCATTAATTTCTCTGGTATAGCTTAACTCATTTCACCTTATATTTCTGGAGAGAAAAATCTGTTTAGATCTTAGCAGCTGCTAAGATACTCATTACCTTCCATTTAAACAATACTGTTCACCTCAGACACACCGTTACATGTTTCTTCCTTTTTATCCGATGTGAAATGCTCCTCCTTTACAAACCTGAAATGATACTTACAGTAATTTACTGGGAATACTATAATGTATTATCAGGAAGAACTGTACCTTTGAAAAAGTTTAAAAGTTAAGTATATTTAATGATGCCTAACATATTTTATTGGCTGTGTTTAACAAAAGGCACTAGGCTGCAGTTGTTTTTGACAAGCATGAAAACATCACAGCATGAGACTGCAAAAGGAATTATGTAGAGAAATTACAAGTGATCCATCTCTCAATGAATTATCCACCTCAATAGCCTGCAGAACTCAGCTACCAATTAACACCTACTTTATTACATGTTGGGATGTACTTAATAACTTTCATGTGTTTATGCACTATTACCTTGACTGATGCCTCTTGTACAATTAGGCATAATTGGCATATCAATATGCAAAAGTTAAAAGGATTAACCCTCTTAAAACTAATGAGCATTTCTGTATCCAGCTGCTAAATGAGACAAAATTAGCATTTTTCACTTTTGGGCAGGATTTTATCATGCAGTTTCTCATTGTTGATATTACCTTGTTACATAACTTTAGTTTTGGGGATAGTATGCTGGACTGTTACGGAGCAAGGGCTCTAAAAAGTTGAATTAGACATAAATATTCACTGCCGCATTCCAATAACCGTAGCAGGTACAATATATGTTCATTGGCTGAGAGCTGAAAAGTTGCTTTGTGTTACATTTGTTTAGGAGCTAATTATATAAAAGCGGAATTTTACTGAGTATATGTCATTTTACCAAGCAAACTTGGCTCCGGCATAATAGATTGAAAGCTTGCCATGCTACTAATTTCCTTTCTCTTTCAATTCTTTTCATCTCTTTTTGCCATGCAGAATTTTCTGACTAGATATTGACAGGCTGAAAGTGTTTTGGCGTATTTACTTAAATAAGCCTCTTAAAGTTGTTTGCTAGCACCCAAACTAAAAGCAAAATTCCTAAGGATCCAAACGTTTCTAAATACGTGCTTTAAATGCAGTGAGATTCAAGTTAAAAGAGCAGTGAAATATCAATTGCATGTATCAGTTGCATGCTGACATATCTGTATCTGTGCATGTGACTTGTGAAGGACTTGGGGGAAAGTGATGGAGGAGAGTAGTCTGTGTCTCGAAAAAGCAAGGTCCAACTGATAAACACGCACATACATGTATGTGTGTGTATATATATACATTTAGTAATCTTGTTTTAAAATTTGTGACACTCTTTTCCAGTGCACTTATAGACACAATCTTCACTTTTGCCTTTAAAGGCACACAGATTCCTGCTTAAAGATACATATTACCAGTAAGTTAAGCAAAGTTAATTATTTTGTGCTAGAAGATAAAAGGGATTTATCCTGATTTTCTATTTGGAAATTTTCTGTTTTCAACAGCCTGCCTCGGTTTAGATGATGGATATAGTGTATAAGGTATCCACTGATTATGCTTATTTTCTATTTACATTAACTGAATACTTTTGTATTATCATCAGGGAGATTTTTCTTTTTAAAAACTGGAAACAGCTAAATAAGGGCCTTCATATTACTCTTTCATCGCCCATATTCAGCACGTGCCCCATACTCTATGTTCTATTAATAAGTGGGTTAAATCCTCTTTACCCAACTTATGCAAAACCTACCGACTTCCTTGGATTAAGGCAATCAGCATTTGGCACATTTTGAACAATCAATAGAAATATATATTTCTAAAACGTATTTGGGGAAAAAAAAAAAAAATTAACACTCCAGACAATGAAGGGTAAAAACCAGGCACAAAACTAGAAAGATCATTGGTGATTTATAGAGAAAAAACCACATACTTTTCTCTAAGGGATTTGTTGTGTTCTCAAGCATTTGCTGTGATGCTTTTAAGCACACCTGGGGCTATACTTTTGAAGGTGGACAGATTATTTTCTATAGTGTGACAAAGAAGGATATGCATCATACATCAGTAGGGCCATATGCACTTGTGCATTTTATAGTAGTAAAGATGCAAATGTGGAATGCATAAGCTAGCTGATGCAAAAGCTAAATGTAGGTTCTTGGGGGTTTATGTTATTTATTTCGATGGAAATGCTTGAGCTTTGTGAGCAGGTTGAAATTGATATTAATGTAGAATTTAAAGAGCACAAATCATGAAGCTGGACACAGCCTGTGGTAAGCAAGGGCTCTTTCTGTGCTTCATGTTAGTGTCTGAACTAGCAATGTAAATGAATATTTGCTATTTTCATCTGTTAAACCCCAGGGAAGTGCATTTTGCTTCATTCAGAACAACTTCAAACAATGAAATGTCTTTTTTTATTGGTGTCTATATTAAGAATTAGAACCGATTTAGACATTCCAAAATGTTAATGTATTAGAGCTTTTTCTGATTAGGTTAAACAAACTGGTAGGTTTATTTATCTTTCTAATACATTATCAGGGAAACGGGAAGCAATCTTCTTTTGTTTCTTACTCCTGTGATCATAGAACACTTGCCAAAGTTATGGCTAGCCAAAAAGACAGAAATAAAATTGCTAAAAATATAAGCCTTCTGTTTAGCAGAGTTTTTGAGCCATATTTTGAAATTGCAGGGTTTGTACATGTTTACTTCAAATCAAGCTTATAGTCAAGTTTGAGGCTTTGTTTGTATAGATTGTCCTGAAGTAGATCCTGATATTTAATTAAAATGACACTAAATCACATTGAATTGATAAGACTTGGCATCTCAAACAAAGGTAATTGCCCGTATTGGTTTTGTACAAAAATAGAGCTGCTTGGAAAATGTGCAGCCAACACAGACTGTCAACTCCATTTATAGATCAATATGTGAAAACCATTGATCAGGCAGGCATGTGTAACAGTAACACTTTGCATTTATTTGTTGTTTTTATACCATGTTAAGGCTTACAGGATTATCGGTTTCCAAAATATTTTGACTTCCTCATAAATATGTTATCTGTTTAATGTTAATTACAAGACAGACTCCAGCCCTCTTCTAGAGTATTTTCAGTTCCATTGCTATGGGTAGTTTTAGCTGAAAATGGATTATTTCAATCTCTTAGAGATCATCAGAGCTTCTTTTATAGTATAGTTTATTTACGGAAAGTTTTTGAGGATTCTTTTTTTTTTTTCCCTCAGTTTACTCTTTTTTCCTGGAGGAAAAAACAAATCGTGACAAAATATTTCTAAAAGCAGAAAACCTTCTCCAGTCATAGTTGTGTACATCTGAGGTGGAAAGGGAAAAATACTCTCTTTATTATGTTCTAATAGTGACTGCCCGGGCTTTATTCTCTGCAGATTTTATTGTCATACACTAGTCCATTATAGATGCATCTATTTTTGTCACTGTAAGGGAATAGCTGCATTCCCTTCAAGGTGTTACACAAATCATATAATACTATTGGGACAGATGTAAAAAAAAATATGAGCCACATGACAAGTGTGGTAATTGTTAATAAATGCAAGCTTACACCTTGCTCACCCCAAATATTTCAGAGGAGGTATGAAAGCAGTGAGTCCATAAACACAGTCCAGTTTTATTTCTTGAATATGAATATTGTCCAAAAGAAAAAAAAAAAAATCTGTTGAGTAACATTAGTCATTCTCCTTTCTAGTGCAGGAAAATGAGAAATGAAGTGTGTCATATGTCTCCTTACTGTATTCAAACTGGTTTTGTGCTTTCAAAACCTAGATCCGCTCTCTGGCGTGTGCCGTGCGTGCAGACTGACTCGTTCGGCCCTTGGCTCCGGTTTTCCAGCCATTTCGTACCCGTGCCCCTTGCTCCCCACCTGAGGAGCTGCGCCAGCTCCGGGGCAGAGGCCCTCAGCCTGCACTGGGCACCGCTCCCAGATGCACCTCTACATGCTCCCGCATGTCCTACATACCACAAA